CCCCCCCCCCCGGCCCTCGCCTCCCCTTTGATAAAAACACTCCACTACTGTTGCATTTTGGTAAGGGTAGGAGTATGTCACCCCGCTAACGACTACCATTGTACGTTTGACTGCCCCATCCACATACAACGACTTCCGTGTTTGCCTCTCTCTCACTCTCTCATGCACATGATCCTCCGCTGGTTGCACCTCTACCGTAAAGGAGTACGTGGCGCTGCTGAAGACGGTGTTCGACTTCCCCAGCCTCAGGGCGCTCCTGGCCCGGCCCGACTTCAACTTCGTCTTCGACGGCATGCACGGGGTGGCCGGGGCTTACGCCAGCCGCGTCTTCGTCGACGAGCTCGGCGCGTCCGAGGAGTCTCTGCTGAGGTGAAAACGATATCCACACTTTTGCGGCGGCCGTAGTGGTGATGATGATTTGTTGTTGTTGTTGCTGTTGTTGTTGTTGCTGCTGCTGCTGTTATTGTTGCTGTTGTTGTTGGTCGTGTTGGTGCAGTTGGTGGTGGTGTTGCTGCTACTGTGTTGTGTCGTACAAGAGACGATCAGTGGTCTATGTTAGGTCTGAACTGAAATGAGTGTCTTACCCCCTTCTGGGGTTTCTTTTCGTTCTCGTCACAGAACCAGTGGTGCCGTCTCATTCATATCTTGCAGCCGAGAGAACGGTGGCGTGCGTTGCATGGTGTGCTCGTTCCTCCCTGGCGGCTGTATGCGTGGCGATGATGTTGCGTCCCTCTCTTAAGCCTAACGTGAAACATTTTTGTGTCTGATGAAAGTCACAGGCGTTTCTTGTCCACAATGACATCAAATGACACAGCAGGCTTCGAGTTTTCGAGTTTGTTACACCAGACACGATGCATAAATACGAGAGAGCACTGCGAGGAGTACCGATAGTGCTGGTGATGCTTGCGGCTGGTGATGGCTGCAATCCCAAGACGAGACCCGGTGGCTCGGCCGCTGGAACGGGAGGAGCCTTTCCTTGAAAGCCTCATTGATGATGGTCTTTGTACATACCCTTCTGATGCGCGAGAGAAGCACACGAGCTCAAGCTATTTGCATCCATCAAAGGCGTCACACACACCGCGACAACCACAAACATTATCATCAGCAACAACAACAACAACAGCAGCAGCAACAAAACGAACAACAACTAACAGCAGTACCCCCCCCCCCGCTCCACCAAACAAACGAAACTTCCCCATCAAAAAAAGGTGCGACCCGAGAGAAGACTTCGGTGGCGGCCACCCAGACCCCAACCTCACATACGCCTCCGACCTGGTGCGAAGGATGGGCCTCGACAGCAGCGGCCAACCCCTCCAAGGAGCAGCAGCAGACGCGGCGGAACCGCCGACGCTTGGGGCCGCGGCCGACGGCGACGCTGATCGAAACATGATCCTGGGAAGGCGTTTCTTCGTGACTCCCAGCGACTCTCTTGCGGTGATCGCGGCCAACGCCGCGGCGGTGCCGTACTTCGCGAGGGCGGGCGGGCTCGGCGGGGCGGCGAGGAGCATGCCGACAAGCGGCGCGCTGGACAGGGTGTGCGAGAGGCAGGGAGTGCCCATGTTCGAGACGCCCACGGGGTGGAAGTTCTTCGGGTGCGCGTTTCTTTTCTTCTGCTTGTCGGGGGTTCGTATGCGTTGGGGAGGGGGGGGGNGCGCCGTGAGATATTCGGCGAGTCGCATGAAGGGTGCGCTGCATCCTGCTAAGGGTGTTCGGCATCTTGTGCTTACTTCCTTGCGTACGAATGACAGCTGCGTATGACTTAATTTATTTTCGGGTGCTTCGCTTCCAGAGACAGTTGTAAGCACTGTTAAACTGCCTCGAGGGTGCTTGACCACCTCAACACAACATGGTGCGACCATCCCCCTTGCGCGGAGTGAGGCTCTCCACCCCGCACAACATGATCTACTCGACCACCATTATGGTTACCGCCAAAAAAAGAACAGAGGTAAAAAAACAACCGGTAACCTGGTCGCCGAGTTCACAACGTGAATGGGCTTGTTTTACAACGTCGTTGCCAAGCGACGAAAACCCAACCCCGATGGCAAA